TGAAGTGCGCAGCCGACACAGCGGAGACACAGTGTTTGTCTCAATATGAACCAGATACTCCTCTACAGAGATTAAAGAGACAGCAGCTGGTTTTATAACGTCATAATATAGATATAAAAACATTATATAAATATAAAAATACATCATATAAAAGACTTTCTGTGGGAAACTGCTGTTAAATCCGCACAGTCATTGTTATATAAGTGCTCTAAGTGGATCTTTTAAAGCACTTTTCATTTAATTAGTTCGCTAATATGGATAATGCACTCAAATACAATGTTTAGTAACAAGAATAATACAAGAAATGCCAATTATTTTATAACTGCAACATAAGTAAGTAACTAAGTATATTTACTTTTCTTTAATATACTTTTATTGCATTTTTTAAATATATAATCCAAACACCCATTGCTACCAACAAACAAGATTGTTGAATAAAGGAATAAAAGAAAAAGGACTGAAACACAGTTTGAGGTATTTTAGTTTGATTATTTCAATCTTGTTTATACATTTTTATTAAATACCAACTTTGCTTTGGTTATAAAATACAAATGCAGTAAATTGTATTATATTGTAGTAATACTCTATAAATATACAACATTAAAATCAATAGTGGAAGAAGTATTCAGGTATTTAGTACCAATTTAGTAAAAATATAAAAATATAAATATACTTAAAGTACCAAAAGTAAAAGTACTCATTATGCAGAATGACCCATTCAATATAATATATATATATATTTATATATATAATATTTATAATATTTATCATATAATTGTATTGTAAATATTGATGCATTAATGTGTTAATCTCTTTATATACTGCTGGGTTTACCTCTGGGGATCAATAAAGCCTTATCTTATCAACAATAATAATGACCAATAATAATACATGATTAATATTATTTGTGGATTTTATTTTATATTATTAATCTGAATTTGCAAAGTAACTAAAGTCAAATAAATGTGAAGTAAAAAGTACAATATTATAGTTTTTGCCTAATTATGTAATTATTAAAATTATAAATATATTAATTCATCTGAATACCAGATGATTGAAACTGTGGATGTGTTATTAATTCTGTGAATATAATAATGTTTATTTTACTGTGTTCCAGATGTATTTGGTGGAGTTTGACCACTAGATGGCAGCAGTGAACCAGCTGTGATTAGTTTGCAACAGAGTTTCCACAAAACCATCAATAATAATAATTTATTACATTTCAGACACGAGTATTGTGCTTTATACTCCATTACATTTAACAAACATAGTTACTACTTTCAGCTTATAAAACACAATATATTGATACAGATTATAATACTCAACAGGAAAGAGTTCATATTTATACAACATTTAAAGTTGCTCACACCTTAATGTGTCAGTATTAACAATCGATTAATGTATTAATACATAATAATGTGTAACGTTGTGTTTACTTACAGAAGACACTTTATTTATCATTGCAGGTAAACAATAACATGTTGTTTGGTAACTATCAGTAACTAAAATAAGATAAATAAGAAAATAAAAAACTTGGATGTGGAGGTAAACTATCGATCTATCAGTGTTCTCTAAAATATATAAAATATATAAAATATTTATTAAATTATATTTTAAAACAGTTAAAACACAGCAGAGACATGACATGTACAGTATAGTGTTGCATTACTTTTATACTTTCACAACAATTAGCTGATAATCAGGCTTCAGGAATACAGATTTCAATGTTTTTAATTACACAATTTAGTTTTTCTTTCTGTTTCCATTTGCTTTTCTAAAGTTACATTGTTTTGTTGTCTTATAGAAAATACGTACAATCATCAATACTTCTTATCGATGTTTCTTTTCTCTTGCTTTTATTCTCATATTTGGTGTTTAGGTAATCCAAACGTAATGCAAAGTAATCAAGTTACTTTAATATTGTGATAATTACTCCTTTAAAGTTACCCTCTGAATAATTAACGGGAGAGAAAAGAAGAAAAAACAACTGTAATTTTTGCTTTTTTGGGTAAATATCAGATAATTTTACCTCTTTGGGTGTCAAACATGGAAAGAGGCACAAACCAAAAAGGCGGGAAACCACTGGATTAATTCAATGGATTTTATCATATGATTAATCTGAAGAGCACAATATGAAATGTAGTGGAGTTAAACACAAAATGGAACTACCACTGCTATATTTACAGCTCTAGTCCAGCTGTTGCAGATGTTTGGATCAATACAACCTACATGAAGTCGGAGCTGAGGAGACTCAAACGCTTCATTTCTGCCCATCTGTGTAATTTCTGCCAAGATCAGAATAGAAGAGCTGAGTCCGTGGCACCAGATGGTCGTAGGAGTAGCGTGTTAAAAAAAAAAAGATGAAAATCAGAGGTCGAAGGACAGAAGGATGATTGGAGTTCATGCTAATTGCGACAAACTGTTCTCAACCAGCGAAGCAGGAGTAAAAAAAATGCTCCGCTGCGCCATCGCGTCGGCCAAATGGAGGGTCACACAGATGGCCAAGCTGGATGAAGATACATCAGGAGGCTTTTATTGGAAAGCAATCATCCGCCAGAGCAGTGGAGGAAATATTCATCATTTTAGTTTAAAGTTTAAAAGTAAGGAAATAGTTCATTGCAAGGAAAAGTTTTAATCTGTTATTTACACAAAGGACCAAAAGGGAAAGTATTCACAATACAGGAAAAGGGAGTTAGGTTTATTTTACTGGTACTGGGTAGTTTCATTTCTGTATGTTCATCATGGAAGTTAATCTTAAACAAATATTGACAATATAACATTTTCTTTATTTTATTATATTCTTCTCTCTCTCCGACCGACACACACTATTTATTATTCAACCTTTACTGTGTTGTCTTTTCTCTTCTCTATATTATCTCTATCAATCACATCTTTGGATTCATCTTTGTAATAGACGTCAGGAAGCAGGAAGCTGGTGTTTATATTCCTTTTACTCTGATTCTGACAAATGAAACCTGGATTTTGGGGAGAAAGGACAGTTCAGTTGGGTGTCTCTGAAAAGAGTAACGAGCCCTCCAAATGGGGAGAGAAGTGTGGACCACTTCCACCAAGTAAACTCTGGGTCTTAAACAACAATAAATAATCTTCTCATTAATAATAAACCTGCTGTATTTCCAGAATAACACTGAGATCCATCAGTAATGAACCCACAGTAGTCAGCAGTGATCCCTCCAGGAGGTCACTGATAACGTCAGGGTGAAAAATCAGGATTTTGTACAGTTTGAGGACGTGACAGTGGAGTTAGAGAGCAGCCGGGGGGGCAAACGCTGTCATGAGTTGTTGTGATAGTCATGTGTGTTGATATCCTGACTGCGTTTACTATACAGACCGCATGAAATGTCATGTGTCTGTAAGGAAAACAGACGTTAAAAGTCTGCTCAGGCACTGAAAGGGTGGAGGACCTCACTCAGTCAGTCATCCTGCGTCTGTGTGAGTGTGAGTGTGTGT